TCCATCTCTCTCACGCGGGTTGAGATCTCACCTGATCCTTTTCTGATTCCAGTGGATTTATTTATTTTTGTTTTCCTAGCAGGAGCTGCCCCGAGGTACGTCTGCACCTACTACGATGTTGTCGAGCACCTGAACATCTCCTCTCACAGCAAGCTGCACGCCCACATACTGCCCAAGACAAACCTTAAGGAGCCTCTGGAAGTGAAGATGGATTTTATGCTGGTGGCCATTCTCTCTGTGGTAAGGACCCAAAACTCCTCTCGAGTCATTGTAACAGAAAACCAGGCAATTGTCAGGTTGGGATCCGAGCCTTCTGCCAGGCAGGGCTGGGTCAGCAAGGCCGTGGGGATGAAAATCAGCCTCTTCTGCTTCTTCAGCTTTCTGCTGCTTGAAAGCGTTTTTGGAAGATCTGGAGTATTTTCTCCCACCTGCTTCCAGGAAAAAGTTCAGAGGCAGGTTTGGACAAACAGCCCGCTTTATAGTGGGCTCTAAAAACACCTCTGCAGAGTGCCTGAGCTGAGCAATGCATTTGCAGGGCACTGGCATGTTAATGTTAACAATAATATTTTTTTTTTCCAAACCATTGGACCGTATGCTCCCACTTTTCGGCCGTAGAACCAAGATCCTTGGGCTCTCCTCCTGTGTTTCTGCAACCTGTGCTGTCCACTGCAAGAGCAGCAGGGGAGAGCTGCCAGGCTCTGCATTTGGATGGACCTCAGAAAAATCAGCTAAACACCTTCCCTTTTGTTTCTCCAGATCGAAAAACTCCAGACGGTCACTTTTTACTTCGTGCTGAACCTGGTAGGTCCCTTGAGAGCGTTTCTCTCCTGTGACACCCAGCACCATGGCTGGGGCTGAGCCGGGCACTCATCTCTCTCCTGCAACTTCTTCCCCCAGGAGTGGAAAAACACTTTGGCGACCTGGAACCCGCAGGATTTCTGTAACATTTCCAGAATCATTCTGCCCACCAATACGTATTGGTCTCCCCCCGTCTTCATTTTAGAGCAGTAGGTTCCCCATTCATTTTTATCCATTGGCTTAAGAGAAACGGGACGGATGCAAACTGTTGGTATCGGGGTAGGAAATGGGATAAACCCATATGGTTAAAAGTTGTTCCCATGAGCTCTCTGTAACCAAGAACCTTGTAATTTAGATTAATCGCGACTGCAGATTAACCAAAGCTCTTTGTGGCTCTGCAATACTGAAACATCTCCAGAAACGTCCCACCTGGGCTGTAGTTGAGGGAGCTGAGGGAGCAGCAGAGACCAGCAACGCCGTGGAATGGAGTGACCCTTGGTGGTTTGTTGTAAGATGCAGGACAGAGCCCTGTGGGTCTGACAGAGGGACGGGCACCACCGCTGGCTCTTTGGGTGGGGGGGGGAAATGGTGAGGCAGCTCTGCAGCACAACAGACCCAGAAATGAGCCCCTACCCCAGCTGAGAGGGGGAAGCAGAGGGGAGAGGGGCAGGAGTTTCCTCAGGAGGTGCAGAGCTCCTACAAACCTTAGTCCAGAGGCTCCCACCAGCCTTTCTTCAAGCCCCTGGATTCCTCCCCTCACTGCCACGTCCCCAGGCTGGGTCACAGTGCAGAGCTCCCCCCCCAAAAGGACACTTACAGCCCGGGTTGTTGTGGGACTGAGGAGCATTGCAGCGTCATGGAGCTCGGTCACTCTCTGTTTTTGTTTCCCCCAGAGTGAACGGGCAAAGCTCGAACCTGGATTATATGGCCGTGATGCACAACGGCAGCTTCAACTCCTCCCAGCCCTTCCAGGTCACCTTAACTTGCAGCTTGATGATCCTCAAGTTTCCCTTTGACACCCAGACATGCAACTTGACCGTAGCTTCATACCTCTACCCAGGTACAGCAGGAAGCTGAGTTTTACCACAGCTGGGCTAAATTTGCAGAAGGAGGAACAGATGAGATGGACCCCGGCTAACTCCTGGGTTCCTTTATAGGAGCACCACACACTCTGGGTTAGCTGGGTTGAGGTCAAGTAACACCAGGGAAAAATGAGCTAAAAACACTGCAATTCTGTTTTGGCACATTTCCCAGCACTGTCTCTGGAAGCATCTGGACGTTCTGTGGCAAGTTCCCCCAGGGACTGTTCTCTACAAGCCAAGAGACTCGGAGGCTTCCTGCGACAAGGCTACTTGGTCACATACAATTTTGCAGGACTGATCTTTAAACATTCCATGGAAAAGGCCATGGAAATGAAAGGGAATTAAGGACAGTTTCAGGGATCCAAACTGTGGTCAGAGTTCATCCCAACAGGAAGGGTGGAAAAATGAGTAGAGGTGACACAAAACCCTCCAGCTCCCACCCACAAAGGACAACTGTCCTAATTCACCAGAGATTTCCCCTCTGATCCAGTTTTCCACAGGTCCAGCCAAGCCTCTTGCCCCGAGTCCCTTTTAACCTGAAGGCCATGGAAACGAAAGGGAATTAAGGATAATTTCAGGGATCCAAACTGCAGTCAGAGTTCATCCCAACAGGAAGGGTGGAAAAATGAGTAGAGGTGACACAAAACCCTCCAGCTCCCACCCACAAAGGACAACTGTCCTAATTCACCAGAGATTTCCCCTCTGATCCAGTTTTCCACAGGTCCAGCCAAGCCTCTTGCCCCGAGTCCCTTTTAATTTCTCCCTGATGGGCTAAGAAACCCCAGCAGTGTGAGAAACATCACCTTTCCCCATCTGCACACACCCCTGGTTGGGAGAGAAAGGGAGAGGAAATAACTGACCTGTACTAAATACCTAAATTCTGCAACTTCTCTCCTCCTCTGCCTCCTGCCCAAGCAGCAACAGACCTTGTCATGAAGACGCGACGGTCACCAGCTCAGATGATGAAAGACAGCCAGAGTTACTTCCTAACTGACGGAGAGTGGAAGTTCACCAACCTGAGCATCATGGAATACATGGAACAGCTGGACAACGAACAATTTTCTATGGTCACTTACGTGGTATGAAACAAGACAATTTCCTACATTAGGGAACAGGCGTTCACCCAACACAGTAACTTATCTCCTGCTCACCCAGATGTTGTCCATCTTCTTCAACAGATTTCCATGGAGAGACGACCCACTCTGTATATTTTGAACCTGATCCTCCCGACGTGCGCCCTGTACCTGCTGGATATGGCTGTGCTGTTCGGACCCAGCTCTCTCGAGGAGAAAATTAGTTTCCAGATTGCCATCATCCTCGGCAGCTCCATGTTAGCCGTGATTCTCAACAACATCCTGCCAACTTCCTCCAACAAACCACCCATGATAGGTACCCACCTTTACTGAGTAAAAACTGATTTTTACACAGGTGCCAAACCTGAGGAAGATCTTTGGGGCGTTGAGGGACACGTTCATGAACACTGAAGTCATGAACAGCTGAGCTTTACCAGCTTGCTGCAGTTAGAAATATCCTCCCTTTCCCACCCGGCTACTGACCACAGACAGAATTAAGTTCATGAAAATTAAGCCAATTATGAAGGGTTTTCTTTGTTTTCGTATCGTTTGCAGTGTTATTCTTCTTAGGCACCTTCCTGCTCATGATCATGGCTGTCTTAGACACCTTCTTCCTGTTGCACCAGCGACACAAATCCCTGCGCTTAGACAAGGCTCTCGGAAGCTTCCAACCAGGTAAGGCCACCCATAACCTCTTAAAGAAGCGGGTTGGGTCAACTACACTTTCCTGCCGGTTCCTCGGGGTGAGGGTGGGTTTCCTCAGGGCAACCAAGCGCCCTGGGCAGGATCAGTCCTGGAAGTCACCCACCAGCCCCACCTTTACCAACATGGGCCATCCACTGTTGGCAGAGGTGGGTGCCAAGCTGGCCATGACAGCCGTGACCAACCAGCGCAACAAACACCCCACCAAGGAGGACACCCAGCTGCTGAACCTGCCCAAGGGCCAGGGGAAAGGGCAACCAGCCAAGCCCTGCTGGCAACCGCAGGAGCAGGACCCGTTTCTACCAGTGCTGGAGAAGGTGCTTCTCTACAGTCATTTCTTTCTCTCTTTGTTTTTTTTCACTATTGTTTCTATAAAATGGAGCAGCTAGAGACTGGCCCCGCGCAGTGCTCGTTCAGTTGTTCTCCCTTGTATCGCTTCTGATCCCTCTGCAAGTTTTTTTTTCCCTGCTTGATTCATACAGCTGCAGTTGTTTGTTGCCTAAATAAAATAAAATTAAAAACTGAAACCCACAGGGCATGAGATCTGCACGCTTCCTGCTCTGTACTCCAGTTCATCAGAACTGCGCGTGTTCTTAAAGTACTCTGTGGGCCAGCAAAGTATTTGAATAAAACAGCTGTGAAATTAGGGGATAATAAGTTCGTTCTATCCATCAGGAATTATCATCACAAACACGACCATCAGAAACAGGAGTTAAGGCCCTTCTCTTATGGAGGTGAATTGATTCTGGGAAAAGGCATTTAAGAATTCCACCTCAGATAATTAAATAAAACAACCAAGCCTAAAGCATTTGTAGTATTGTTTCTGTGAGTTTCAGTGAGATCTGCACCATTCATAAACCCCAGGACAAAGAGAACAATAGGAGCACCAGGGTTAATGGGGCAATACTTGGGATGTTTTAAAAAATAATAAATAAAAAAAAAAAGAGAGACTATCTCAACACATTTACACTCCTTCAACTCTTTTTGCAATTGGCTACACCTAAACCATCACAAACCATCTAGAAAACATCCCTAGACCTCTGCCAGTAAAACTAGAGACATCTCCCACTGCGTCCCAGCTCACTACTAAATACACTCCAGAAGCTCAAAAGCCTTTATATGCTCAGCTCCTGAGAAACTCTTTGCCTGCAACAGCAGAACGACGTTCCCTGCAACACGTGGTGATGGAGATGAACAGGTCCAGCTGGGATCTCGGTCCCTCCTAGGAAAACAAGCTCATGGGTAGAAAAGATAAAAATCGAGGAAAAGTGGGTTGTTTGCAAATCAGTGTATTGTTCCACCTGCCTCAAAACCTTGCAACCTCGCGTCTAAGATCTGAGCGGCAGACAGGAGGGAAAGTACTTTATTTAAAAGATCATAGAGTCTGACAGTCGTTAAGACAAACCGCTTCCAGACAAGTTTACAGATCAGCAATGGGTTTGTGGGGCCAGAACGGATATTTCTCCTTGTCCAGTTTGGTTTCAGGGAAGGCATCGTGCAAGTCTTCAAACGTCATCTGTTCGAAGGGAATCATGCTTTTGAGCTTCTGAAGCTGGAAGGGAGGGAGAGCAGAGACAAACACAAGTTAACAAGTCACTTGTCAGCAAGAAAGAGCAAAGTGTTACAAGTCACTTGTCAGCAAGAAAGAGCAAAGCACACACAAGTAAGAACAAGGCGTGTGCCTGGCTGGGTTAAAGAGAATATTCACCAGGCAAAGTCCAGACTTACTTGTTGCTCATACTGGGCAATACGAGCCTTGGAAGCCTGCACGTACTCAGCAGTGCTCTTTGCCTGCAGGAAAGCAGAGGACGTGGTGAATACCCTTATGATAAATACAGTGACCTAGAGTGAACCTGCAGCCCCATGCCTTACGTTGGCATTAACATTCATCATCATTACACTAGACAAGCAGACAGAACCTTGATCAAAACCCAAATAGCCAAGCCCTTCCACGTGCAGGGATCCTCTTGTTTAGCCAAAAGCCACAGACGGGTGTGAGGACCAGAGCCGTGCTCCAGCTCAGGCTGCCCAGCCTGTGCACATGCACGTACAGAACATCCCTCTCTCCCCTCCCCATCCTCACAGAAGTCAGAGACAACCCCAGCATTAGAGGAACAGGTTAAACACTTACAGCTTCCGCCTCCTGGGCATCAATTTTGGCGGTTTGTGTATCCTTTGGCTCAGGAACCTTCAGTGCACTGAACTGTACATCGAAAGAGAAAATTGTTGATACCATTTGACTGAAATAATCCTTCACAGCAAGGTCATTTTCCCAAGCAGTGGAGAAGCATTCCCTCCTTTCTTCATAGGATACACTCACAACTGCAAAAGTTCACAAGCTTTCTAAAATTGACCACTGGAGCTCGACTGTGTCCTTCACCAGCAGCACTGCTCACCCGTGAGCTTAAAGCAATCTATTCTGTACTGCACACCATCACCAGGACATGTAACACCACTCACATTCACCCCAGCTCCGTAAAGAGCAAAGCACCACATTGCAAGGAAGCAAGAAAGTCTAATACCAACACCTCATCACATCACAGACTGATTTCCCCCAAGATAAAGTTCCCAGACCCATGAGAGGTCAGTGGTTCCTCCCAGCCTGGGGAGCCCAATTTCCATAGTGCTGGTGACACCTTGTGTCCTTCAGCAAGCCCCTCACTCGTGTTTTTCAATTCCTGCTTATAAAGATGAGGGCAACCCCTGCAGGCACCCACTAGCTTTACACGTTTTGGTGTGCGTACAGCCAGACTTGGCACCTTCTTCCATTCAGGGAGATAGAGAAATACTTCAAGCGTTTGCTTCAGGAGAGGCTCTACCCAAGAATTCAGTTTTGCAGCCAAAATAATTTATCAAGTTTTCTTTCACCAACTTTCTCGCCGTACACCACAGGTTTCCTCCTGAATGATGGCACTGAAGTGCCGTACAACACCACAGGTTTCCTCCTGAATGATGGCACTGAAGTGACCTCCTCGAGGTCAGCGACACCGACCTGCAGGGTGTACAGCTGGGGGATCTGCCAGCCAAAACAACCTTCTCTCTCACTTCTGGTATTTCCCTCTCACACCAAAGACATTCCCCGTTTAAACCTCCAAGAAAAGCGATACCCAGCCTGCAAAGACACTGACCTTACTCTGGAACTCATCCACCATGCCAGCTTTAGCAACAGCAGCCTTGTAGTGAGCCCAGTCGATGGTCGGGGGTTTCTCTGGCAGAGCAGCCAACCTAAAGAGAGAGAGCACAGCAGTCACAGCCAGCGCGAGACGTAACCCCACGCTATCACTGGCCCTCTGCCACAGTTACTTTTCAGAGCATCACCAGAGTCTGGTAAGTTTAGTTTAAATATCTTCAGGTCCATCATTAACAAGCAGTGATGAACCATAGCAAACTATCCATGAGCCAGCAATGTGCCCTTGTCGCCAAGAGGGCCGATGGAATCCTGGGCTGCAGAGGGAAGAGTGTGGGCAGCAGATCGACGGAGGTTATTTTTCCCCTCTACCCTGCACTGCATCCAGTTCTGGGCTCCCCATATTCTTCCCCTCTACCCCTGCACTGCATCCAGTTCTGGGCTCCCCAGTTCAAGAGAGACAGGGAACTACTGGAGAGAGTCCAGCGTAGGGCAACAAAAATGATGGAGGGATTGGAGCATCTCCCTAATAAGGAAAGGCTGAGAGAGCTGGGGTTCTTTAGCCTGGAGAAGAGAAGGCTGAGGGGAAACAAATCTATGTTTACAAATATCTAAAGGGTGGGTTGAAGGATGTTGGAGCCAGACTCTTTTCAGTGGTTTCCAGCAACAGGATGAGGGGCAACGGGCACAAGCTGGAACATGGGAAGTTCCATTCAAATACAAGATAAAACTTCTTTGCAGTGAGGGTGCCAGAGCCCTGGGACAGGCTGCCCAGGGAGGGTGTGGAGTCCCCTTCTCTGGAGATATTCAAGCCCCACCTGGATGCAAACCTGAGTGATGTGCCCTGGGCAACCCTGCTTGAGTATCTAAAGGGTGGGTTGAGGGATGTTGGAGACGGACTCTTTTCAGTGGTTTCCAGCAACAGGATGAGGGGCAACGGGCACAAGCTGGAACATGGGAAATTCCATAAAAATACAAGGAAAAATTTCTTTACAGTGAGGGTGGCAGAGCCCTGGAACAACTACTATATAAACTCTCTGGGTGCTGCCCTGTTAGAAAGGATTAGCCAGTTTTCAGAATACTGAGTCACAGACAAACAGCAATATTAGCTGTAAAAGCCAACAACATTTGTATCAAGCAGCTGGAGCATTTGAGGAGACTCGGGACACAAATCCCTCTCTCTGCCCTTGAAATAGCATTCGCTATACAGACAAGAGGAGTTCAGCCTGCAGCCCTGCTCCGTTTCCAACTACTATATAAACTCTCTGGGTGCTGCCCTGTTAGAAAGGATTAGCCAGTTTTCAGAATACTGAATCATAGACAATCAGCAATATTAGCTTAAAAGCCAACGTTTGTATCAAGCAGCTGGAGCATTTGAGGAGACTCAGGAATTTGAGCAGCAATGAACAGAAGAAGCATTTGCGCAAAAAAACTACTATATAGACTCTCCGGGTGCTGCCCTGTCAGAAAGGATTAGCCAGTTTTCAGAATACTGAGTCACAGACAAACAGCAATATTAGCTGTAAAAGCCAACAACATTTGTATCAAGCAGCTGGAGCATTTGAGGAGACTCGGGAATTTGAGCAGCAATGAACAGAAGAAGCGTTTGTGATTTGCGCAAAATGCTTTGAATGTGCCAAAGCAAAATGCTGCCACACATCTGCCTTCTTACATTACAGCTGTTATGTTACGCTGGGGAGGATTAAGTGAAGATGAGTTGCCTAAAAAAGCCACCAACTGTCTTGAAGGTGACCTGCCTTAGTGTTTCTCAGGGCACTGCCATGGGTCCGCAGTTACCACCACTACCCCAAGCCGGTATCATAAAGGCTGAGGGGTCAGCTGAAGGACTGAGCTGCCCCCCAGGAGTGGGGCAGAGACTCACCGGGCCGAGAGCGCGTCGCTGCGGGTCTTCAGGGCGTTGAACATGGCCCTCTGGTTGGGGGGCACCCTCTCGGCGAAGGCCGCCCAGTCAATGGCCTTGATAGCAGCTCTGCGTCCTGCCATGCTTCCAGCCTGCCCCGGGAGAGAGGACACCAAGTGGGTGACACTGCGGGGGGGGGGAGGCAGGGACCAGCAGGGGGGATCCG